AACTATTTAAAACATACGAGCATACCAATCTTCTGCTGCAAGTTCAGCGTTCGGCTAGGCTTTTAATAATGTAATCCAGTCTATATCTGTGGTTCGGCACAATCGATATTTTCCAAGTTCGAGCTTTAAATCAATATGGCTGCATCTCTACTCGCAGACTTAATATGTTTCTGTGTTATCTTATTGATGAATATCTTAATACTGAGATATACACAACAGTAATTTAATGAGGTCGCTCCAAAGGCGATTAGCCCCATAATAATCTCAGCTGGTGATGTAATTAAAATCTTGAGTTTTCAAACCCTGGATCGCGAAACATTCGAACAAAAATAGTTATAAATGTTATTGCAGATCTAGTTTTCATGTGAATTTTACTAACCATAGCATTTTAAATATTACATTTAGTACGATGGTCACACCTCTGGAGGTCACTTACATCAAACTAACCTTCAATAGTGAATAGATTTGAAGAAGAAACAATCTTCTTACAATTCCTTGAAAAGTTCATAGTAATTCAGCTGGTCAAGAAATTCCTTAGGGCATTCCAAGATACATCATTGGACCGCGCAGAGTCAGTTCAATCCAATCCAAACCTTTCTTCCAATTTCTCTCGATGTTTTCAACATTTCCTTCTACGACCAGGTCTACCAAAAAAATCATGGTTGTGTAAACGTTTAAAGAATACGTAATTTATCTTCAGGTCATCTATAGAAAATGTGATTCGAACAACACGGCTACCAATATAAATACACATAATGTAATATAATCAATACTTATAAATCTTATTACTGAAAAAATTCATAGTAGCATTCTAAACGAGTAAAAATGCAGTGATACCTCGTTCAACGCTAATTCGTTATACCACTCTTTGTTCTAGGACCATTTTATAACAATAATAATTATTTATTATTAGTGTGTTGTATTAACAGCCATGAAGCCAATTACAGATACAGTACAAGAGAGGAACAAAAGAAAATAATAAATAAATAATAATAAAATAAATAAATAAATAATAATAACAATAAATATCTGCTGCATTAAGTAACACCTTTGCAAAAGTTTAACAATATTTACTCACAGACGTCAAACGTAGTTTACGGGCTCAAATTCGTGTGTAATTTAAAAAAATAGTGATCTACATGTGGTCATTTGATTTCTTGTAAACAAAATCATGTTTACTGTGTATAATATTGCTACAGGAACGTAACGAAACCCTAATAATTTGAAAACAAGTAATAAATTACTATTTTATAAACTCATCTCCTTATCATTTTATTGTTGCCATGAGGTCAGACTATGTCTCTGTAGAACGGGTCCTTTGTCCACCCCTCAGAATATACATGAACGAATATGGAACAACAATGACATTGAAAAACCAAAATACTGCGAAAAACCTGTCCCAGTGCCATTTTCTTACAAACCTCAGATAGACTGGCCTGAGCACGAATTAGTCCCCCTGATGAAGGAAGCAGCAAAAACCAGAGAAACATCGGTAAGCTTCTATCATACCATATACTTTTATTATTATTAGTGTTCTGTCTGACGACAGGTCCATATGAACTGGATCCTTCCATCCTTTTCTCGGACTGGGACCTGTTCATATACGTTCTTGGCAGATGATCCTGAAGTGGTTTGCCATTGCCTTCTTCTGTGTGTGAATGGGATGCCACGGAGAAACCGGGGAAGCCCCCGGAGGAAAACTCCGTGTTGCCTAGACCACGACCTTGCCCAACACAAGTTATAAATTCGGGCACCGCCGGGAATCGAACCCGAGACCCCAGGATTACAAGGCCAGCGTTCTAACCGCTAGACCACCGTGGACATACATCGGAACAAAAAGTACCACTAAACACACTGTACACCCCTGCGTCGAACAGAAGCCAAACAATGAGGTAATTTTTTCCATATCTTTTGCCGGAGGCGGACAGGGTTTCACATCGGTGGCGCTCAGCGCATAATGGCAAGGGTGAGGGGGTGTAGTAACGCGATACATCCATCGAAAGAGACTTACACAAAACTTCCAACAATAATTACAACCTTCATAAAGCGGAGGCATTGTACAGTCAACCACAAAATATTCTGCACAAATTCGTAGGCATCTGAATGAATGGGTTCATTCATGAAATTTTACTCCTACGTAGAACTCGATCCAGCGTTTTTGGCCGCTGATCTTGTAGGGAGAGCCCAGTATGCGGACCACTCAATGAAGGAAGGAAGGGGTTTCCGTCAGTCAGTACAGTCTGTGTCAGTACAGCAGTGTTGAAGCCTGATATTGTTGTCTTGTGACTGTGCTGTGTTAACATGCCACCTGTTCGTTCCAAGTTAAGTTCCAAAACATTACGCAGTCAGAGCCGAGAAATTGTCACGAAAATCTGCAATTTTATGAAAACAGAGGCAAGAAGTAAAGATAAAGTGGCTTGGCCAGTTTACTTTAAAAAAATACAAAAAGTGCTGAAAAGAGTGTCAGAAGTTATTGGAGCGTCTCAAAGGACAATTAGAACGATTTTGAAAAAGCGAGAAGAACACGAGGAACACGTCACTTCATCTGGAACGCCTGGCAAGAAACACGACGTCCCTAAGCGAATAACTGAAATAGACGACTTTGATAAATGTGTTGTTCGGCGCACCATCCATAATTTCTATTCACAGGAGGGAACTGTTCCAACACTTCCCAAAGTAGTTGTAAACCTCAAAGAGGGCATTGATTTTAAAGGAAGTTGTTCAAGCCTCAGAAGAATTGTTAGGGACCTCGTTTTTAGGTGGAATAAGACCATGGCAAACAGAGGGATGCTCATTGAGAGGCACGATATACGATCTATGCGCTTATCGTACCTGACTGCACTAAGAGAGTACATTCAATCATATTTGAAGACGAGACTTACATTCATGGTACCCATACCAGACCAAAGAATTGGACTGGTTATAGTGATTCTGGTTTGTTGGTGCCAACATCAAAAGGTGTTCATGCTGGAGGAAAAGCGGGCTGTATTTCAAAAGCACTTCTCATATAAAAATCTAGGCAGAAAACTGGAGATTATCATAATGAAATTGACAGTAAAAATTATGTCAGCTGGTTAAAACAATGCTAATACGAAATTTACCACCGTTCTGGTCATTGATAACGCCTCGTATCACAACACTCAGATAAACAAACAACCGACATCTAACTCAAAGAAGGACGAAATGGAAGCCTGGCTATTGGAAAGAAACATCACATTTTGTGACATGTTGAAAGCTCAACTGTTTGATTTAACCAAATTTAAAAAAGTCAAAGCACAAATATTATGTGATTGATCATATTTTAGCAGACAAAGGGAATACTGTGCTGAGACTTCTGCCATACCATCTCGATTTAAACCCCACTTAACTTATTTGGGCAAATGAAAAATGGGCTGCAAGCAAGAACACATTTAAAATTAACAACGTTAAACAACTGTGTCGCCAGAGATTCCAAGAAATTTCTGCATTGGTGTAGAAGTGAGTTCGTTCTTTTATGCGAACAATAGTTGTGAAGGTGATGATGAAAACTTGTTGAACATGGAAAGGGCTCAGATTCGCCTAATACATAAATTTATCTATTAAACACTTTTTTTGGAAAATAGAAGTAACTTTGAAACAGGTTTTGCGTATGCAAAAGAAAAGAATGCGACGACAAATTTTGTGTCTGGTCATTGCACTGATTTTTTTGACTCTCACGCCCACCTTATAGCATTCAATCGATTTCATAAATACATAATTATTTGTAAGTCTGCATTATCCTCAACAGGAAAGCGATGAACGTCACCAGAAAATTTAATAACGAATACAAGAGAGGATAACGAACATACTATATAATAAGTGATCAAAGCCGGACAATTAGAAATCCAACTACAAGAAACGGAAGTTTCCAATTTTGCTCTCATCACCAAATATTATTAGGGAGATCAAATGAATTAAAATGAGATCGCTAGAACGTGTATCATGCTTATTCAGATGATAAATAAACTACACAAAGCTTCAGTACAAAATTCTGAAGGAAAGAGTCCACTTGGATGAGTTAGAAATAGACGAGGGAATAATATTGAAATGGATCATGAATAAATAACGTGTGGATTAGTTGCAGTTTTTTCAAAAGAGAGTCCAGAGACGCGAC